AGAAGCAGGAAGGAATGAGGAACGGAGTCCCAAAACCTGACCCTAGAGCCTCCGGCACATATATGTCTTGCCAACAACTTAAGCACTGATTTAAGACCTTTGACCTCCACAACTGTAGGAGAGTATGTCTGATCATTTTTTAAGCCATTAAGTTAGTTGTCAAAGCAACCATAGCTAACTAATACCATCTTCCATCCTGATTCCACTACAAAGGATGGTGTAAGAAGAACGCTTTGGGGAGGTCATAAGGTCATGAGGCTGAAGCCCTTAGGAATGAGATTAGTTCCACTATTGGAAAAAAAAAAAAAGACTCCAGAGAGTTCTTATCCTTGTTCCACATGCAAGGACACCAGGCTAGCCCAAATAAGATGGATCATCTTTGTCACAAACTCCTAACTTTCCTTCTACCTCCATCATATGAGTACACCAGGCTAGCCCAAATAAGATGGATCATCTTTGTCACAAACTCCTAACTTTCCTTCTACCTCCATCATATGAGTACACCAGGCTAGCCCAAATAAGATCGATCATCTTTGTCACAAACTCCTAACTTTCCTTCTACCTCCATCATATGAGGACACCAGGCTAGCCCAAATAAGATCATCTCTGTCACAAACTCCTAACTTTCCTTTCTACCTCCATCATATGAGGACACCAGGCTAGCCCAAATAAGATCATCTCTGTCACAAACTCCTAACTCTCCTTTCTACCTCCATCATATGAGGACACCAGGCTAGCCCAAATAAGATCATCTCTGTCACAAACTCCTAACTCTCCTTTCTACCTCCATCATATGAGGACACCAGGCTAGCCCAAATAAGACTTTCCCTGTTGTATAACTTTTCTTGTGTTGAGAATTAGGGATCCTTGAGGATCACCTTGGGAGATCCCCTCCCCCAAACCACTTTTATCTCATCACAAGTAATCATAGTTTTTTCCATAGAGAAGTTTGGTTCTAAATCTTACAAAAGCACGAAGTAAATAAAAATTAGTCATAAACCTACCCCTCAGGAACAGCCTGCCACTACCGTTAATATTTTGTTTTCTAAATTTGTTCTTGAGTTCCCTGAAACTCGAATCACTTCTGACTCAAGCCCCGAGCATTCCTTTTGAAGCCATTATTAGACACTAGCAATGATGACAAGCCAAATAATTAAAATCAACCGCTGTGCTCTCCTGGAGACACAAACAGCAGCCCTCAGGTCTCCATATCACAGCAACAACTGTCAAAATGAACTCTGCGCTTGACTATAAGGAGAGGAAGATGAGAAGCAAGTTATTCAGGCTCCACTGTGGGTCTCCATCAACCTCAAGTGTGAAGGAGGGGAAGCATGAGAACCTGCCATTCATCCCCAGCATCCATGGAAAAACAAACAAAAACCTGGGCGTGCCAGTGGGCACCTGCAACCCAAGAGCTGGGCAGGTGGACATGAGTGGATCCCCCGGGTTTACAGGCCAGCCAGTCTAGCTTCATCCATGAGCCCCAGGTCCTGGTGAGATACACTGACTCAAAGAGTAAAGTGGAGACTGAATGAAGGAAGCAACCGATTATCAACCTCCACACCACACACACCACACCACATACACACCACACACACAAACACACACACACACATACACCACACACACACCACACCACACACACACACAAACACACACACAAACACACACACACACATACACCACACACACACACCACACACACCACATCACACACCACACACACACCACACACACACCACACACACACCACACACACACAGCATGCGCGCACACACACACCACACACACACCACACACACACCACACACACACAGCATGCGCGCACACACACACCATACTCCACACACACACACACCACACACACCACACCACATACACACCACACACACACCACACACACACACACACACCACACCACACACACACACACACACTTACCCTTAGCACACCTGCTAGGCAACACAGAAGGAGAAGGAATTGCTCAGTCGTTGGCTAGCCTCTGCTCTCCTAGAATGGCTGTGAGAAGCAAGTGCAACTGTCCTTCCAGGGTGCTGGAGTATAGAAGAGCCATGGACTAGGTCAGAGCTCCGCAACACACTGTGATCATGGCTCGATAAAGGGATGTGACAGTGACCTTCGAGAAAGAGGGCTCATCTAACAAGGGAAAACACACAGACTCAAGAAACTGAGTATACAACGGTCCATGTCACATCAGAGGGAGACGCCACACAAGCCTGCTGTCATGACATTTTGCCTTGCCTCAAGCCCAAACAATTGGGACTGAAATACTGAGCCATGGTAAACCTTTTTTCCCTTTGACTTTGTTTCTCTCGAGTGTTTTGTCACAGTAACAAAAAATAACTGGCAAAGGTCCATAACTTCACCAGAGTCAAGGAGAATCAGAGACTTGGGAACTCATCTGTCCTTGCATGTAGGTTTGACACATGACCTCAAGTGCCCTCAGGTGTGTCCTCACACCCCAGAACACTGCAGAGCCAGGCCATCCATCAACAAACCTTTCTTTCTTTCTTTTTTCCACATTATGATACAGATTTTTAAACAAAATGTCATCCTTAGGATGAACAAAACTGAACCAGCAAAAGCAAAAAGTTCAAAAAAAAAAAATCAATTATCCATTAAGTCTTTGTGGAAAGTCCATCTGAAAACCCAGGGTCTTAGGGAATGTCAAAGCTGCACTTAAATTTTTAATAAAGGATGGTGTTTAAAAATGAGAGAGAGAGAGAGAGAGAGAGAGAGAGAGAGGGGAGAGAGCTTTCCAAAGGTAGCTGGCACTGGACAGGCTCTGACAGTGACTCTTGTTGGAGGGCAACATGCCCCTGACAGGAAGCGTGGGAGACTTATTCTCTTCAGACTAAAACAGAAACTAGAGGCAACAGAAATGAACCCTGCTGGGAACCTCACAGTTAGGTGATTCATTTTGCTCAGACAGGGGTCTCATGTAACTCAGACTGGCCTCGAACCTGCTATGTAGCCAAGGATCGTCCTGCCTCTCCCAGTGTGCTGGGAGAGGGTGACACAGGTAACCCTGTTTCTTCAATGACTGTTCCTCAGGCTGGTGGAGACTCAGGCTTCCAGGGGGTAATTTAAGATAGTGTGGGGAGCATTATAGGAGCCCCCAATAGTGCAAACCCACATAGATCTTCTCTGGGCACTGTGTGGGGTCCCTGTGTGACTCCATCAGAAGACACACTGTATGGAGAGCGTTAGGGAGTTAACCAAGAATGTGCAATCTGACTCAGAGAGGGCTAAGGCACCTAGAAGGAAATGGGAGAGAGATGGGCAATGAGGAAAATTCTAAGAAAAGCAGCCTGTCCATGATTACAGGATAGAAACTGCTGTGACTACAAAGGAAAGTACTAGAGAAACAGGTTTGTCTCTTCCCAGAGGAAGAGCCCATCTTAAAAGTGCCCTGGTGCCTGGTGTTTTAGGCAGAGTCCACGTATACCAGATATAATAACACAGACAAGGCTGCACAGTGTCGTCTTCACACAAATAAGAGAGAACCAGTTCTCCAAAGGAATGATTTCGCCCCTGCTGTGTTCTCTGCTTCTACAAAACCGGTGCCAGGGGATGGCAAAATCATGTCTCCATGAGCCGTAACAGAGAGACATTGTCACCTTAGCGAGCCATGGCTGGCTGTCACAGGCAACAGACAGGATCTATGACCCCTGTGTAGATCTGTAAAACAAGTCCCCTCCGACAGCCCCCAGGGACCACAACAGTGCATGCTCAACTTTCAGCAAAAGATGGATGGGAACAATTAAGAGCTCCAAACTGACAAAGTCATGGTTGGAAGACCTGAGGAGCCTGGTCCACACAATGACCCCATCTGTCAAATGCTCAGAGGGCCTGAGCATAGCCAATGGCTGTGCACATGCCTCAAAAGAAACCAGTTGGCATAGTCCCATTTCATCCGGGAGAAAGCCAAACAGTATTCGGAGATAAACACATCAGTGGCTGGCAGAGCTAGAGTTACACAGTGCGCTCCCAGCAGCCCGGGACCTCTTCATTAATTTCTTTTTTGTAGTAGTCTTATTTCTTTCTTATTTTATGCTTACCTATGTCTTCTCGTTGCTTTAAAAGAAGTATTATCTTTTAAATAAAGCACAAGTAAGTCCCCCTCCCATAAAATTAAATCCCAAGAATTCAAATATGTTATTCTGTAATAGGCAAAGATTTATAATAGGAAAAGATCCCTACAAAGAAAGCACGCGAGTGAAGTATGGATGTTAATCAAGGCAGAATTCCATACTTTTTTTTGTATACATGTACAGTGGGGTGTATGTTTGTGAGTGTGCATGTTTGTATACAGGTGAGCATGCATGCTTGTGTACAGGTCTATGTGTGTGTGTGTGTGTGTGTGTTTTATGTAAAAGCTACAAATCAGCCTTTGGTCTTGTTTCTCAGCTCTAGCCACTTAATTTTTGGTGGTCTGGAACTCACCAAAAATTTTGGCTGGCCATCAAGCCCTGGGGTCCTCCTGTCCCCACCTCCCTGGTGACGAGATGACAGGTACATGCCACCATATCCAGCTTTTTGCCTTGGGTTCTGTGGGTGAAACTCACACTCGCACAGCAGACACTTCACTGATCAAGCTATCACCTGAGCCCTGAATTCACTACATCCTTAAGAGTCAGTCAAAACTGGAGACATCCTGCACTTCCAGGAGGCTCCCTCGATCCCAGAATCATGGGCGTTACGGAATTACGTTCCAGGTGATTTGGAACCTGGTACCAAATGTGTAAAGAAAGGGACTCCTTGGTCAAAATAGCAGAGGTTACTTAAAGTAACTGGAATGGAGACACGAAACATGCAAAGATCATTTCATCATGCACAGAATGGCCTCCACTCCCATCCAAATAGGACTCATGCCACTGTGGAAGGTTCCCCTTTCCCAGCTGCACAGCACAGATAGCTGTGTGGACAATGGCTGGGCCCTCAGGCAGGTGGCAGACATCCCCAGGATCAATCCTCACCTGGAACGTTGTGTATGGTGATGGCCAGGATGAGCAGAGCGATCCTCCTCCAGCTGCTGACCGCATGCTGCCCTGGGTTGCCTTGCACAGGGCCTGAGGGCGCAGTGCCCTCTGGGAGGTCAGTGGCTGCTGCCTTCTTCCTCTGGTATACCTCGCCATTCTCGCTCTTGTCTGTGTAAAAAGAACAGAGAGAAGGGGGCTGTGAAAATGTGCACCCTGACTCCGGGCAGGCAGCAGCAAGAGGAAGCCTCGAAGCCGGGGACAGTTCTCCATCTAGACTGCCATGCAGCAAGCATCCCCTCTTGGTGGCTCAGGCACTCCCTGGGGCAGTCATTCAGCAAGGACTCAGGAACCAGACAGGCTGTGCTTTGGGGCTCTAAGAAGGATGAAAATGGCCATATAAGGAGAAGGATGCTGCGGGTTGATGAGGAGTACAGATTGTGGAATCAGGCCATCATTTTTACTTCATGACCCTGCCACACACCAGCTGAGCGATGCTTGCTAGCCAGGGGTTTTCACTGCTCCATACTGTATTTCCTGGCTCTAAACAATGCAGCAATGAAACACTTTCTGGAGGCTACAGGGTTGTAGGGAGTGAGGGAAGTCCTGGGTGAATGTGTGTTGTTGACATAGGCACTGGTCATGCCAAGTACCAACACTTCAGCCCCATGGGAGTCCAGCCGTATGAATAACCCTGCCTCCTTGTCCAGCCGAATGAATAACCCTGCCTCCTTGTCCAGCCATATAAAACAATCCTGCCTCCTTGTCCAGCCATATGAATAACCCTGCCTCCTTGTCCAGCCGTATGAATAACCCTGCCTCCTTGTCCAGCCATATAAAACAATCCTGCCTCCTTGTCCAGCCATATGAATAACCCTGCCTCCTTGTCCAGCCATATGAATAACCCTGCCTCCTTGTCCAGCCGTATAAAACAATCCTGCCTCCTTGTCCAGCCGAATGAATAACCCTGCCTCCTTGTCCAGCCATATAAAACAATCCTGCCTCCTTGTCCAGCCATATGAATAACCCTGCCTCCTTGTCCAGCCATATGAATAACCCTGCCTCCTTGTCCAGCCATATGAATAACCCTGTCTCCTTGTCCAGCCGTATAAAACAATCCTGCCTCCTTGTCCAGCCGTATATGCTAACCTTTCACTCTGTTCAGCTCTATACAATAAACACTGAGTTTCTGGGGTGCTGCAGCTTCTTCGACAGAGAGCCCACCCCACCCGATCTCAGCTTTTCTACATCAGCGTATCTGCGTGTTTGTCATTTCTTCAGTCCCTCACCACTCCAGCTAGAGCAACCCCTGGAACGAAGCAAGGATGCAGCAAAGGTTTGTGGTGGTTCAACAAGAGAACACTTGGAAGCGCTCGGGAATGTTCTAAGTGCTGAATACATGGATTGGTGTTATCAGTAATATGTTCCCTTTCTCCAAGAACCCTCCAGAATTATGTATGTGCCCCCTAACTCCTAGTCACCCTGAGACTCAAGGGGAATAACTCAGATGTAAGAATCAGCCAATCACATTCCCTCTCCTAGGATGCAGGGTAATTTGCATGCATGGGTGATGAAGCTAATCATGATTTAAGAGTAGCTGTATCAGACGGACAGAAGGAAACAAAGTGCCCAGTAAGCAGGGACAGGTATACACATAGCCAACGAGACAGACACAAATACATAGCGGCCCAGGTCCTGAAGGGGCTGAGTTTCACATACTGAAAACTCGCTTTGATTGTCAGTATGATGTCCCACTTCTGACACCAGATATTGATGTTTAATAAGAATCAGGAGAAACAAATAGGCCGAATAGATGTTTATTCAGGGAAAAATAACTCACAACATGGACAGATGAACATCAGCAGGTTCCTGGTCCCAAGGATGCCTCCTGACGTGCTCCTGTCCCCATGCAGCAAGCAAGAGAGCTCTCCGAGCCCCCTCCTCAGCCTTAGTTCCCCCAGGTCAGGTCCTGCCCTGTCTCCACCCCCAATGGGTGTGGTCTATGCCACAGGTACTGACAAGGTGCATATCTCACTACAATTTTAGTCTAAAGAAAAGATTTGGGCTTGATATAAAAACTATATACAAAAGTATGCTCTAAGAAAAGGAAAATCGAGAACATACAAACTTAAGACCTAACTATCTAGTCCCAGGGTGAAGTCGAAACAGGGTTAACAATAGAGTTGTCCTAAGCTGGAAAGCTTAAGTCTAGTACCTAATATATCTAACTAGGAAGAGAGAATAATAGTTGTGATAATTTAATCTTCAACCTCATCAAAAACCTGAGAAGGAAAATAATAATACTAGGGTAGGCAGGAAGTGCGGATGGGCAACTTCCAAAAGGTGCAGCAAGGACAGAAACAGCAAGCCACCTGAACAGTCACCCTAGGTCTCACAGCAACGTTGGTACAGCCAGTACCTGACAGACCACAACAAAGCAGGGAGATAAAAAAAGCTGTCTTACCCTGACTTGGCAGGGTTCAGCAGTCTTCTATGTTTGTCTCCTGCAAGCACATAGGACCATACATCCAAATCAGTGGCCGAGTTGGGGGCCAAGAGGCCATAGCTGAAGCAAGGATGGACTCCAGAAGGAGCAACAACAATATCCTGACAGCATGGTGCTGTCAGGAGCTATAGTGTCTCATGTCAACGGAATACTAATATTAAAACATTTAAATGCCATGTTCTGCATGTCTATGAAGTGATTGAAGATTAAGCATCTATTTCTGACTAATCTCATAGGTATAGGAAACATGGGTGAAGATAATATGTAATACTCAGGAACCTTTCTATAACACTGATTGAAACTTCCCTGAGTAAAGCAGGGACAAATACCTAAGCAATGTAACTATGTACATATATATGCGTGTGATTCCCTAAAGGAGAGGTAGAGTAGAAATGTCTAGACCAGAGGTAAAACTATAAAGTGCAGCATGATAAAAATATCCTAAATTGTAACAACATAAAAAATTGTCTTGAACATAAGTGAAAGTATACATACATAGACTATGGTAAGGATATTGTACAAAAACATCATAACTGGAGAGAGTGTCACAATATGACAAAATATACAGTTTATATACAATTCTGGGAAGGGAATAAACTTAATTTTACATAGGTTACCACGTATAAGAATCTATAACCATGTAAGCTATATGATACTAATATCTCAATATTACTAAAATAATTCACAAGAAGATAGGCTACTCTACCCATATTCCGTCTAAACCATACCTTTCCCAACCATACTCTATCCCTGTCTAAAAGAGATACCCGAGTCTAAGCAGCACCTTCCATACCCAACCCTAAGAAGATGAATATTATCCCTAAATGCCTAGAGTAGGGAAACGGGGAGTTGTTATCTTAAGATCACTTCCTACTGAACTGGGACGATGATTGCTCCATGGGATCCTGTAGGACCCAATTCCCAGTCTTGGAAGGCTGAGGCAGGAGGATCTCAAGAGCGAGAGCTGGCTAGGATACATAAAAGACTCTGTCTCAAAATAAAATTGTCCTGGTTTAGACTAGAGTGTTGCTGTTTCTTAGACTGTCGCCTTAATGGTATTTTTAGATGCAGGGAGATCCTTGACTGTGGGAGACGGCGGAAGCATGACACTCTGGGACTCTGAGTATGACAGACACTATAGTCCATGCCCTTGACTGAGGGTGACAGGGACCCTCAACAGTCCTCCTTCCTGACTCCACTCAGAAAAGTTCCCTCCAAAAGTGGGGAATTCCTTTTATGAAGATGAAAGCAGAACTTCCTCAAATCCAATTTAGGTAGGAGGCTGGTGAGATAGTCCAGCATTGAAAAGCACTTGCCAGTCAAACCCAGCAACCTGAATCTGACTCCTGGGAGCTGTCTCTGACCTCCATGCTGTGTCCTATGTGCGCCACCCCACCACATGCTAAAAATAAATGAATAACATTTACAATAGGAACGAAGAATACCTCTGGGGTCTCCTGGCCCCTCGCTGTGTGTACGTAGCTCATCTAATGCCTTGTCACACCAAGCTACTATAGTTTGTCTCAACTTTTGGGATGCTGACCCTAAAGAACAGAGTCCCATGGGATTGAAGAGGAGCTCCGCATTTGAAAGAACTCAAGTGTGGTTCCCAGTACCCATATCAGACTGCTAACAACTTCCTGTAACCCCAGCTCCTGGGGATCCAATGTCCTTCTGGCCTCTGCAGGCAACTACACCCACACAGACAGACAAGCATACATACAATTAAAAAAAAAAAAGTCCTTTTAAAAAGAGAAAGGAAGGAGAGGACAAAGAAGTGTAGAGGAGAGGGGTGGAGAGAAGGGGAGAAGGAGGGCATGGCAGGGGAGAGCAGGGAAGGAGAATGAAAAGGAGGAAGGGAGGGAGAACCTTCAACTGACCCTCCATAGTGTGCATGACTCACAGAAAATGTGGCATCTCAGCAGCTCTTCCTAAGCAACCCTTGGTATTCCACCCAGGCTGTGTGATGTTTATACTGTGTGTGTGTGTGTGTGTGTGTGTGTGTGTGTGTGTGTGTGCATGCGTGTGTGTGCGTACGTGTGTGTGTGTGCGTGCGCGCGTGCGCATGTGCACCCGCGCATGCAAATGTGTTACTGCACACATACGTTACTGACCCTCGGTCCCATCTTTACTGTTGGACATATTAGGCAGGGTTCTTGAATGTACACATAGGTGTTTCTGGGTACACGAGGCAGAAGAGGACTCATACATGTAAACTTGATAACACTTGGACTGCAGAGCCTGGCGGGGAGTCCCCAGAATTCCAAGGCCACAGCCTAGAGGCATAATGAGACACTTGAGTGCTGCCCTTGAGTCTAGCATCTGCTTCCCTGTGTCCTCTTCCTGGACACCAAGGCTGGGATTCTCATGCCCCTACACACCCATAGGTGACAGCTGGGAAGGCACAAACCTGCAGCCATGAGCAGAACAAACTCTCTGCTGCCTGGACACAGCCGCCCCTGTAACATGACAAGCCCTGGAGTTCTCTCTGTGGCGGCATTGAGCCATCTTGATCAGCGCTTTCAAAACCACAATGGAAGTCACAATCCACTCTGCGTCCAAACATGCACAGATGGTCTGGAAGCCTGACTGTGTCCTCAAGGACTCAAGACACATCCAGGGAGGCGAATTTGGAGCTAGCCTCCTCTTTCACAGCCCGCGGGGC